TTATCATCATCATTATATAATTGTTTTTGATATAATTATTGACAGCGGCGTATTCAGGGCGGGGGCCTATGGGGGCTTAGCCCCCCCCTCTTGGACAAATTCCTGAATACCCCCCTGACTATTGACATGGGCATTAATAACAATTTGATGTTTTAAAAACCTTTTTATTTTAAGATTGTGAGTCATGACGTGAACAGATCTAAATCTAAAGATGGGTTCGAGTGAGAAGTTTTGTTTGCGTTGGAACGATTTCGAGTCGAACATTAGCATTTCCTTTCGAGAACTTCGAGATGATAAAGATTTCTTCGATATTACCCTGGCGTGTGAGGACGACCAGGTTCAGGCTCACAAGGTTATTCTCTCCGCCTGTAGTCCATTCTTCAGGTAAAACATCAAAAATATATATTATCTTGAAATTTACCCCCCCCCCCCCTTCAAAACCATATTTTTCATTTGTTGTATGTATTTTGGGTTAAATGTATTAAAAAAGAGTGGAATAGTTGTCATTTTACATCCAATTTATTTCTATAATATTTCCAGAACTTTGAAGAAAAATATCTTTCTATTTTTTTTAACCTAACAAGATTTCTAAGTTTGATACTTTATTTTATATCTTGACATTAAAATTTTAATTGTTACGAACAGATGATTTGTATATATAGTCTATAGTCTGAACTATGACACTAGAAAAAATTGTCCATGTCATGTTTACTTTACGGGTTACATAGATTTGAATTGTGAAACTGTTTGTTTTTATTATTTTTGAAATTGATTTTCTTTAAATGTATTTTTTTCATTTAACGCTCAATTTCTATAATATTTCCAGAACATTGATAAAAAATCTTTCGATTTTTTTAAACCTAACAAGATTTAGAATTTTGATACTTTATTTTTTTATATCTTGATATTAAAATTTCAACAGTTACGAACAGATGATTTGTATATATAGTCTATAGTCTGGACTCACTATAAAAATTTGTCAAAATCATGTTTACATAGATTTGAATTTTGTAACTTTGTTTTTATAATTTGCATTTGATTTTTAAAATTGTATTTTTTAGATCTATTCTGAAGAGGAATCAACATCAGCATCCACTCCTATACTTGAAGGGAGTCAAATTTTCCGAACTCCAGGCTGTACTAAACTTCATGTATCAGGTAGTCCCCCCCCACCCTTTTATTTCTTAAAATAAAATTGGAATAGATTCCTGTTTTAGAAATAACCCATAAAATCGATATTCTAATATGCTGACGCGAAAGTTAAATTTTTCTTGCAGAAAGTTTTCGTGAAAAATAGGTTTAGGATGAACTACAATTAAATTATAAATCAGTCGGCGCTGTTCAAATTTCCACATATATTATAACAAACCGAGGTTTTTCTTGTGAAAACGGCCACTATTGCCATAACGGTGAGGCAGATACATTAAATAGAAATACCCTTTTTTTAGCAAACACTCCCTTTAAAAAATACTTTTTCCAGGGTGAGGTGAATGTAGCACAAGAAGATTTAAACTCATTCCTCGCCGTCGCAGAGGAACTTAAAGTCAAAGGTTTAACCCAGTCCAACACTAAATCCTCCCCTCAACCTAAACACAGGAGCCGGGATCCTCCTGAGAATGATTCTGCTCCTCCTCCTCCCTCCAAGCGTCCTCGTCAATCTAACAGTGCTGTGAATACCAAAGTAAAGAGCTATGAACCCGAGGTTCAGGAGATGATACCTAATGTGAAATCTGAACCCGTCCAACCTGAAGTACAAAGTATGGCTGCCGTTGAGCCCTACCAGGCTGGCGGAGAACCCCTGGTAGAGTATGGTGAGGACTATGGGGACTATGATGGTGGATACGAAGGAGATGCTGGATATGATGACTCAATGATGGATTCAACTATGACGGGAACACCAAGCGCGGACGGAAATAAAGGTAGGAGACATCTTTCATCTGCCAGGGTTCTCAATATGGATTTAAACAGATCACATGGAAAATATTTGAAAATTTTAATTAGTATCAAAACTTTTTTTTAAAGTAGGCCATTTTGAATTAAAAATTTCAAATAACTTTACAGCTTTTTTTAATTTTTGTTTAATTCTCTTTGAAAATTTACAAGTTTTAAAGTCTTAAATGTTAGAAAAGTATGAAAAAAGTTCTCAAATCTTTTTGTTTTATTTCCTATTCATCCAGAAGGAAACCATGTAGTCTTAGATTCTTTTACATCATCCATACAATTCAAACATTTATGTCAAAAGAAATAATTTTTCACAAAATTCATTCATTTTTTTTTTAACCCAAACTTCAAAATTAAACTGTATTTTGAATAGTTATACATTGTTATTCTTGATCTAAATAAAAAAGTAAAAAAAGAATTAAACATTAAAACAATGTAAAATTACTCAATAATTGCACCGAAATATTTTAAACTTCTAAATATTGTTTTATTTCCTTAAATTTAAAGAATAAGGACTACATTTTTTAATAAACTTTTAACTATTTGGCGAAGTTTTATGTCCTTCTTCTTTAAACTGCATTGAAAAACTTTTTTAAAAATGAAAAGTAGATTAAACGATAAATTTGAAAAATTTAAACATTTTAAGAAAGTTTTTCGTCATTACTGTGGGCTGTCATTTATACTGGCTGTGGCTACTTTTGAACCTGAACCTTTTTTTCTGCCATTGACTCACAGGACTCAAAAAAAACCTTTTTATAGAGTTTATCTTGAAGGAATCATAAAAATAAAGTGCTCCCACGGACTCATCAAAATAAAGCTATTAGCATTAAGAACTTCATAAAACTGTTCTTACAATTAGACTATTTGTATAATTCTGTGCCTATGCATTTGAAGATTTATTCTCCTAACAAAATTTTGATGAATTTTCCAACCTTTGCTATTGTTAACAGTACACGTATCGTGTTAAGCTTATAGCATCGAGAATTTTCATATTAAACACATTAAGAAATATTATTAAGTAGAAAAGCTAAACTAATTGATCTGTTAACTTTGCTACATACAGCGGTTAAATTAGAGTTTAAAAAATATGACAAAATCTAAGTTAAATGAAAACCTCCTGGTCTTAGTATTTGCATAAAAGCTTAAAACGCATAAACTTACTCCAGTATACTAACACTCATTCAAATATGGTATCAATTTAAACACAGGTTTCAGGGGCGTTTTCAGGAATTTGTCTGGAGGGGGGCTTAATTTTTTGGCATTTTAGGAGGGGGGGCTCATTTCTATTTTGGGGCAGAATCCTTCCTGAAAATTATAGTTGTCACCTTTATTAGCCCCATCCTGGATATGCTTCTGAATTACTGAAAATAACATATAATCAGATAAGATCAAGGAAGAGAGAGAAAAAGGGGATAAAATCGCATTGAAGGCTGGTTGTTAAGAGTTATTTGAGAGAATGCTGTTTATTATTTCGTGTTCATATCTTCATGTAAACTATTAAACTCCCGCCAGAGCCAGTATGAAAGCCCAGTTTGTTCACGGTCTAATATTGTCATGCATTGGTAACCATAAGTTTGGGTACTGGCGCTGCTGGGGTTAGGATTAGAGTTTTTCTTCTGAAATGGCGTGTAGCAGGTGGTGAAGGATCTTAAACTAGCGTGTAAACGTGTAGCAGGGGTAAAGGATCTTAAACTAGCGTGTACACTTGTAGCAGGGGGTAAAGGATCTTAAACTAGCGTGTACACGTGTAGCAGGGGTAAAGGATCTTAAACTAGCGTGTACACTTCTAGCAGGGGGTAAAGGATCTTAAACTAGCGTATACACGTGTAGCAGGGGTAAAGGATCTTAAACTAGCGTGTACACTTCGAGCAGGGGGTAAAGTATCTTAAACTAGCGTGTACACGTGTAGCAGGGGTTAAAAGGTCTTAAACTAGCGTGTACACATGACGCAGGGGAGTAAAGTATCTTAAACTAGCGTGTACACATGTAAGGGAGTGAATGCTCTTAAACTAGCGTGTACACGTGTAGCAGGAAGGTAAAGAATATTCAACTAGCTCATACACGTGTAGCAAGTGGTAAAGAGTCTTAAACTAGCGTGTACAGTTACGCATGTAGCAGGGGTTAAAGGATATTAAACTAGCGTGTACACGTGTAGCAGGGGGTCGAGTAGCAGGGGTGTAAAGCATCTTAAACTAGCGTGTAGCACTGGGTAAAGGATCTGGTTATCAATGCATGATACGATTAACCCCTATGGATGAGCTAGCCTGGAGATTACTGAACCCTGATTTCAGACTTGAACATTGATCTGGACGAGCAGATCCAAGAGAAGATGAGCAGACTAATGGGAGCTAACGGAGAAGGGATGTTATGGTGTTGTGATGTTTGCAATCGAAAATACAAGGATAAAACTAAAATGCGTCATCATATTGAAACCCATTTGGACAGTTTTGTATCCTGTCCTCTTTGCAACCAGTTGTGCAAAACTAGAAGGACGTTGAAGACACATATAGGACGAAGTCATGGCAAGGACGCAATAGCTGCAACAGTTAACAAAGTTGAACTCACCAAAATAGTAAAGCTTGAAACCTGTTTTGAACCAAAGATAACCCTTTCTTGAATTGTCAGAACTGTATACATGACAGCGCACCTTGTGATACAAAATTTTAATCTATAATCTCTTTTCAATGCCAAAACAGATTTTTCCAAGATTTTATTCATTTCATTCATCCTGTGAACGGAAAAAAATAAAACCTTTCTCTGTATCTGCAGGTCGCCTTGCAGACAACATTGAACACTTGATTGAGAAAATAGCCACTGCTGATGATACTGTCTGCTACCGGTGTACTGAATGCCAAAAAGTGATGAAAAGAAAAGATCATATGAAGAATCATGTGAAAACTCATTTTGTCGGACAGGAGGTGAATTGTTATATCTGCGGGAAACCGTATAAAAATATCAGATCTATGGAAGTTCATATTAGTTCTTATCATAATAACCCTTCATCGTGAAATATAAGATTTATATATGTTAATTAATATTAATTTGTATTGCCCATGGGGAAGGAGAAATGAAGAGAAGTATAAGAAAATATCTAGCGATCCACAAAATTGATGAGGCTTGAGGTGTGTAAAACTATTTAAGGTTAGGTAATAAAACCAGGGCTTTTAATATCAAAACAGGAAAATATTTAATTCAGAAAAAATATTTTGGTCGATTTAAGGTGATACCTAAATTCTTTGCGATTAAAAAAATTACGTAATTTGCGCCGGAAGTCGAGATTTTGATGGTTAGTGGTGCACCTAAATATCAGACTTGGTGGCAGTGCTTAGGATCCAGATTCGTGGGATCTGCAAGATTTTGGCTTTCTGGATCCGGATCCACAAAAATATGTGGATCTTAAATGTTAACCAAAAATTGCAAAAGGAAAATTTTACCCTTAAACCCCAAAAAATCTGAACTGATGAAAAAAGAGAGATTATAACAATTTCCTGAACTCTTTTTTATAATTTATTTAAAATAAAATGGTAGGAGGCAAAGAAAGAAGAGAGATAATTTGACAATTCTGCTTTTTTTAAATTCAGAAAATCTTTAAAATGTTAATGATTCGGATCCGGATCCATTTTTTCCAATGCGGATACAGGATCCGGATCCGGATACGCATCAAAATTAATGAATCCGAAGCACTGCTTGGGAGTATGTTTTGAAATCTTTACTAAAGTAAAAAAATCCTCTAAATTATGCTGACCAGTATAAATGATGGTACCGGAGTAAGATCTAAAATTGTTTAACCCTTGTCATTGTTTAGATTTGGATTCTCTAGTAAACCAGAATATGATAACTAGGTCAAACCTTACTTTCAATAAACATCAAATACACAATTTTCTTTCTTTAAGATTCAAATTTTGAAATTAAATCCGACAAATTTTATAATTTTAGTTCTCAAATTGAATATAAAAAATATCTTTAAGGGTCGGTTTTAGATCTTTCAAACGTAACATTACGGAGGAATCAGCTTTTAAAAAATTGTGCAGACACTTTGTAGGCTTGTTATTTACTTATTAGGTTAGAAGTTCAATGAAGTTTTTCTGATATTCGAAAATTTAGAAGAATTTTTTTTTATATTGATAGAAGAGCTTGAGCAAAATGTTGATGAACTTTTCAGTACTTTTATAAAGACGTGAGTTTTACCCGATTTTTGATGAACGAATAAAATAGATTGTGTTTATTTCTTTCCTAGAAAAGATGCAATCTCCAACTTTTTTCGTCTTTGCCGTAGTAATCGATCCACGTGTGGCTTTCTAAATAAACCATGGTTGTAGAATATTACATGGCATAGCATCCTCTGTTATAATTCAATCAATGTTGGACCTTCAATATGTCATATTGGTTGACAGTTTCTCTAAGTTTGGTTTGGTTGTTAGACTTGGTTTGGATGGGATTGCTGAATTTGTTTGTTTATTCTGTCACAAGGCTGGCAGACACTCGGCTAATATCAGGAACAGTTCAGAATTAGATTAAGGGGTTTCCTCCAAATTATCGTTCAGTGATTTTCCGGACTGTGAAACTTAAATTTAAAAAAAACCATTTTAAACCCCGAACCCTCTCTCCCAAGAAAAAACATTTATTATGAAACAATCTTTCTTTTTTTTTTTTACAAAATTTACTTGATTTGTAACTGAATTGTGACCAGGAATCATGTTGAGACACACATTCCAGGATTCACTCACCAGTGTCCTCACTGTTCTAAAACAAGGAAATCTTCCTCATACACTCCTCTACACTTCCTTTCTACCTTTCCTTTCCTCATACACTCCTCTACACTTCCTTTATACCTTTCCGTTCCTCATACACTCCTACTTTTCCTTTCTATCTTTCCCTTCCTCATACACTCCTCTACACTTCCTTTCCTCATACACTCCTCTACACTTCCTTTCTACCTTTCCGTTCCTCATACACTCCTCTACACTTCCTTTCTACCTTTCCTTTCCTCATACACTCCTCTACACTTCCTTTCCCTTCCTCATACACTCCTCTACACTTCCTTTCCTCATACACTCCTCTACACTTGCTTTCTACCTTTCCTTTCCTTATACACTCCTCTACACTTCCTTTCCTCATGCACCACTTTCTACTCTTACTTTCCTCATACACTCCTCTACACTTCCTTTCTACCTTTCCTTTCCTCATACACTCCTCTACACTTCCTTTCTACCTTTCCTTTCCTCATACACTCCTCTACACTTCCTTTCTACCTTTCCCTTCCTCATACACTCCTCTACACTTCCTTTCCTCATACACTCCTCTACACTTCCTTTCTACCTTTCCTTTCCTCATACACTCCTCTACACTTCCTTCCCACATGCACCCCTTTCTACTCTTACTCTCCTCTACACTCTGTTCTAATTTTCCTTTCCTAATACACTCCGTTCTACTTGTCCTTTCTTCATATTCTCCGTTCTACTTGTCCTTTCCACTACACTCCTTTCTACTTTTGTCCTTTCCTCACACACTCCTTCCTACTCTTGTCCTTTCCTCATATACTCCTTTCTACTCTTCCTTTCCTGTACACTCCTTTCTACTTATGTCCTTTCCTCTACACTCCTTTCTACTCTTGTCCTTTCCTCATACACTCCTTTCTACTCTTCCTTTCCAAAACTTTCTACTCTTACTTTCTTCATACAGTCTTTTCTACTCTTCCCTACCTCATATACTCCGTTCTTCTCTTCCTTTCTTCATATTCTCCGTTCTGCTCTCCTTTCCACATATACTCCGTTCTACTCTTCCTTTCCTCATATTCTCTGTTCTACTCTTCCTTTCCTCATATACTCCGTTCTTCTCTTCCTTTCCTCATACACTCCTTTCTATTCTTGTTCTTTCCTCATACACTCCTTTCTACTCTTGTCCTTTCCTCATACTCTCCTTTCTACTCTTGTCCTTTCCTCATATACTCCGTTCTACTCTTCCTTTCCTCATATACTCCGTTCTTCTCTTCCTTACCTCATATACTCCGTTTTTCTCTTTCTTTCCTCATATACTCCTTTTTCCTTTCTACTCTTGTCCTTTTCTCATATACTCCTTTCTACTCTACCATTCCTCATATACTCCGTTCATCTCTTTCTTTCATTATTTACTCTAAAACTGACATAACTACAGCGTTTTTTATCTTCCATCCTTGTTTTAACTTTGTGCAAGCTTTCTCTCATGGTTTAAATTCTAAAAAAAAGATGATCATCTCTCAGTTCTCTTTCTCTAGGATATAATTCACAAATTTGGGCTCGTCGTTTTTTTATCTACTCTTGCACAGTTTTATTTTTCTAAATCCTATTAAAAAAAATTTCTCCTGTTTTCCTGTTTTCCTACACTACTCTTGTTGTTGAAGTGTATTTGGACGGATAATTTTCAGGAAAACACGGGAATCTCTTCGTCAGCACATAATGACCGTGCACAGAGATAAACATAAATTCAAGAAATAAACGCTAAATGCTCAAGGTGTCGCCATGCCATCCTGTCCTTCTGGACTCACTCACAAAAGCCTGGTGTTGTAAACTATACTCGGAGAAGTTTGGAACCTTGTATTGAATCCCATTGTTAGTAAACAATTCCTGGTGTACTCAAGATGTGTTACAAAACTATAAAATCTGAAATCAAATATATGTTTTAAATGAATAAATATTTTGTTCGTAAGCGTGATAATGTAGTGAGTTATTTGTAAGATAAAATTTTTCTCCCTTTTCCTCAATATTATCCGTCCTGCAGCCGGAAATGACAGCCTCTGTTTTATGGTAATTAATTTAACCGTATCGTCTTGTGTGGATATGTTAGTTAGCTGACGAGTGACGACTCCTATATTTACAGAGCTGGACGATATGATCTCTACGATGTCTGCGAAGGACCGGGACGAGTCGGGTGCAGTCTCCTGGGTGTGTATCGTCTGTCAGTACAAGAACCCGTCCCTAACCAACCTGACGAACCATATTGAGAGAAACCACCTGAACGCGAGCTACAGATGCCCGAAGTGCAGCAAGGTGTTCAGGTCCAGGCACGCGATCAAGACTCATATCTACCGACTACACGATGATGATCCTCAAACCTGTTCTATTTGTGAGAAAACTATACCTTCGAGGAAGCTACTGAGAACACACTGTAACATTGAACACGGGCCTGTTCTACAGAAATAAATAATTAGACAATTAAATTAAAAATAAAGATAAATTATCCCTGATCAACTTTTTATTCCCGAAGCCGTAAAACATGTATTGAAATGACAGTCCTCAGTATTTTGGCTGTAAAATAAACTAACTGAATCTTAATACCCAGATATATTTGAATCTGTGACCAGCGCGCTAGTTACGCCCCGGGTCGACCCTCAACAAGGAAAGATATGGGTATGCGTCGAATGCGGTAAATCATCAAAGAAAAGGTCAGAATCCTAACTTTTGCCAAATTCAAAATAATTTAATTTAATATTTTTTTGTAATTTTTCTTTTCGGTTTAGGCCCAATATTCAGTGTCATGCCGAGGTTTACCACGTTGAGGAAGATTCAAGCAGATACTCGTGCAAAATCTGCTTTATTAGGCACAACAACTTAGATACTAACAAATAACACGGGGGGGGTTCAAGAAGATACTCATGCAAAATCTGCTTTATTTTGGCATTTAAAAGTAGATCTACAGATTATGCAAGCTTATCGAAGTATTTTGATGAAAGATTTTTGCTATAATTTCGACAATAAATTGTTGCTCCAGGAAAGGCACCTACAAGGCACTATCCAAGCACTGCTATAAGGAGCATCGAATTCAACCCTACATATCCAGATCTTAGAGTCTACACATCTACATATATCCAGATATTAGAGTTTTCTAAGCTACATATATTCATATCTTAGAGTCTACAAAGCTACATATATCCAGATGTTAGAGTCTACACAGTTACATATATCCTGACAAGAGTCTACACAGCTGCATATATCCTGATATTAGAGTCTACACAGCTACGTGAATTTCCAGAATTTGCAGACTTACTCCAACTAGGAGGGATTTAAAATCTCTTTCCTGATATCCAGATCATAACTCTACACAGCCATAAATCTTGAGTTATTTAGCTACATATATCTAGATTTTGGGTTTATTAAGTTACAGATATCCAGATCTTGGGTTTAATTAGCTACGATATCCAGATCTTGGGGTTATTAAGTTACAGATATCCAGATTTTGGGTTTATGACGTTACAGATATCCAGATCTTGGGTTTAATTAGCTACGATATCCAGATCTTGGGGTTATTAAGTTACAGATATCCAAATCTTGTGTTTAATCAGCTACAGATATACTGACTTGGGTTTAATCAGCTACAGATATTCTGATCTTGGGTTTAATCAGCTAAAGATATCCAGATCTCGGGTTTAATCAGCTATGTCTAGCTAGAAATCCTTACAAATGAATCATTGATCACATCTCGTATATCTAGATCTTTATAAATAAGGTTAGATGTTAGGTTCTTTCCCAAAGGCATTTCCCAAGCGGTAACTTCCCAAGAGTATTTTTCCAAGTGGCAACTTACCAAATGTGTAATTTCCCAAGCGCAAACTTCGCAAGTCTGTCCTAGCTGCAGCGCTCGGCCCCCAGCATGTTCTAGCCACGGCGCTCGATCCCCTAGCCCATCCTAGCCGCAGCGCTCGGCCCCATATTGCAGCCAGCGGCGCCTCAGAGGACCTAACCCTTGGGAAATTGAATATTTGGGAAGTTGCCACTTGGGAAATTGATACTTGGGAAGTCGCCCTTATATGGGGAATGTATGTTACTACAAAGAATTCCTACAGTTCTAGATACTATATTCGTTGAAATATAAAAAAAAAAATTTTTTTAAAAAATTCATACCTAGGAAAGATTTCGTGACTTGCTGCAGTTTTAAACTTTTAACGAAATAAATGAAGTTACTCATGCGTTTACGCTGCATCTCTAGTTTTAACAGATGAATTAAAGTTTTACTTTTTAATATTACAGACAATGCATATATCATCATATTGTTAAAATCTTAAATTGTAGTGAAAATAATCTTGATAAAAAAATACAAGAAACTGTTTTGTTTATTTTCTTGCGAAGTAAAAAAGCGAATAATATACACTTGTGATTAGTTATATTTTTACGGTGGTTAGTTATATTCTAAGTATTGTTGATAATAGTTCTAAATTAGGTCAAATTTCTTTTAAATTTTTATCTCAAAATGCTGAAACTCTATTAAGGTTGATTTCCATTATATGTAAGATTGATTTACCGCTATTTTTAATAGATTTAGTGCTTTTAGACTAGGTCGATAGGATTTGAAAGCTTGAATTTATTAAGAGTAATTTTGGTAGATTTCATGCTTTTAGACTAGGTCGTTAGAATTTTTAAGTTTGAATTTATTTCTGTAGTTGCCGCACACCTGTGGTTTGAAAGTTTTCATACCCTGACTCTAAGTAAGATAAAAGTCTCAGCCAGATAGCTTTTAGCCTTTAAATAAAACAGCTCCATGGTTTACTTTGACAGCTCACAAATATTTACAAATCAGCACTTAGTTTTCCATCACTTCTGCATGTCAAGTGCCTAGGAGTGAAATTAAAGTTAATAATTTTTTCTAATATTTAGAAATTAAAATACAATTTATACAAAGTAAAGTAACAAAAAAAAGCAGTTTCCCAGTGAGGTTATTTTTCACGTTTTTTATTACAAAATGACATATTTGCTCTTGGTTTAGAGATATTTGAGAAACTAACCTTGCCCCTGATAGCTTCAACAGTAGATGAGGTGGAAGGAAAAGTTTGGATTTGTGTAAGCTGTGGTAAACGATCAAAAAACAGGTAGAAAATAAATTTATTCAAAGCAGGAAAAATAAAAGTTTTAAGTTAAAAAAATTATATTCGAATCTTGGGCTAAGTCGGTTCATAGCATTAGCTTAAAATTAACTTAAACTATTAATAACGTTATTATGTTGGTTCGCACTGCTATAAAGTTTTTGGACAGACATTTTCTCTATAGAAAAGGTTTAAGCGGTTTTAAGTTACATTTAATCTAAAAAAGGGCTGGATATACGAGATACAAAGAAACTTCTTGAGTCCAAAAAGTTTACGACACGTCGCGTTGTGACAAAATAATAGTGTCAGGTAATTCTATGAATTGGTTGTAAAACTTCTCTTGCTAGTACTTTTTGCTCTTCGAAACCAATAAGTTTCCCGTTTGGGGTCTTCACATTTGTGTAGATTTTGATTGAAGAGATAGAAAAGAATAATGTAAGAAAGTAAATAAAATATCATCTCCCACCAAAAATATTGATATCTACAAAACTGCCTTCTCCCAATATCCAACCAAGTTTTTGAAACTGGGTTTTACAATAACCTGAATTAAGTTTGTGTTTCTGTCTGATAGAATTATATATTTGTAGGACAAATATTCAAAATCATGCAGAGGTTTTGCATACAGACGAGGATCCTTCAAGATATGCCTGCCATGTTTGCATGATCAGGAAATGACTTAAGATCAAATCAAAATGCTTTAAGATTAGTATGTTAATCTATCAACAATATTTAATACTAGCCGAAGTGCCCGGCGTTGCCCGTGGAATTTAAAAAACTTTAATTTTGAAAAAAAAAGTCGATTTTTGAAGAAATAAGTCGATTTTTGAAAAAAATAAATTGTTTTTTGAAGAAAAAACTCGATATTTTTTTGATTATATTACCTCCGGGGTTCCCTCAAAAAATTCCAGTCAATTTGGTCCTCCCGTTTGGCCAGCTATAGCTGACATATATATATATATGAGCGAAGAGCTTTATTATATGGCTGAAAAGGGAAATTTTTTTAAAAAATATTCGGGATTAAACAGAAAATTAATTAAGTCGTTGATTTAGAAAAGGAACATTTAAAGCAGTGTGGAAGCATGTATACAGGGTTCATAGAGAAGTAATGGCTAAAAATCAGCCAATGGATGTTACACTTGTGTAACTGTAGTGATATTCTTTTCTTTAAGAAATTAGATAATAAAAACTCATTGTTTTCTCTTCAAAGTCAAAAGTTTGATTCCAATATACATTTCAACATTCTCTCTGGCATAGCATCCAAAAATCAACATATAACCAAATAATAACCAAGTGCTATCTCCAAATAAAGATAACAGTACTGTAAACATCGAAGCATCATTCTAAAACTTCGTACTGTCTCTCTCATCCAGTAGGACGGTTTTAACTGGACTTCGAAAAAAAATCAGTTCTGTTCCGATGTTGAAATTAGTGATAAGTTCAGATTATCATATCCGTCCAAAGATCATAATTTTTAATGAATTATACCATAGTTCATCAGTTTAGAATTAAACTGTTTTCTTGTAATTAGCTCTAACAATAAAGATAAATATAATGTTTACATTTTTTATTTGGTCTTCTACATGTGCATCATTTATTCTTTCTACGCAAACATTTATAAATCAAATTTTCTTACTTATTCATATGCTGTTCCCATTTTCATTTTCTATTGGTAAAGGGTTATCCACAAAGGATGAGAATTTAAAGACGACATAACTTGTTAAATCTGACGATTGTTCAGTCAAATCAAGTCTTCTGTCTTGAACATAACCATTTTATAGCTTAATTAATAATTAGGCAGAAATTATAACAAGCTTACGTACAGTTGCTGGGATTCAAAAATATAAGTTCTGTACAGGCGTCTCTGAAGTCTCATCCTTTGTGGGTAACCCTGTATATCCCGGAAAAAATCTGTCCCCCCCCCCCCCCCCCACCGACTAATATTGAGGTAAAAACATGCACAGTAAACACAGCAGTTTTTTTGACAACTCACAGTAATCAAAGATTTGAAAGATTCTCTGTCAATATTTAATTTGCACTCGATGCATTTTTTAGTTTTTTTCTGTTTTTATCTCCGTCCCCCACTATTTAAAAAAAAATCTGCATCAATGTTAGTTATCTCTAGTCCTAGTTTTCCAATTAACTAAAATCTTACTTTTGTATTTTCTCTCAAATCTCGTGTTTTTCACGTGTTTAGAGATACTGGAAGGTTTAACTAATGGCCACGTTAAAATTCGAGAAGACAGGGGGCTAGGCAAGGTAGGAATATATTCAATTCTGAAGATTCAAGATTAAAATAATTTTTGGGCACAACAAATATTTTTTAATCCAGGGGTTTTACCGATGCTTAAACCCTATGGAAGATCATATAAGATTAAAATTGATAAAAACTCCACAATCTTTTTTTATTTAGAGAATTTCACATTCATACACAGTGAAATGTGAATTAAACGTTACAAATAATATTTTTGGGGGGTTTTCTTGCTGAGTGAAGAATTGATTATATATTAGTTATGGTCTTGTTTACACTGCGGTAAAGAGAATAAGAACCGGATGAACATTCTGCTCCACGTGGAAGCGGCGCACATACACGAGATGCAGAATAGATACAGCTGCTATATTTGTAACTCCGTCAGGCATACAAACCTTTTTTATCAGATTAGAGGATAAAATATAGAAACCAGGCTTTTCAAGTTGCAATTTTTATCAGATTAGAGGATAAAATATAGAAACCAGGCTTTTCAAGTTGCAATTTTTTCTTTGAACACTGTAAAATTAAAAAATGCGCGTTTTTTCTGTTGGCATTTATGGATTTCGAAAAGATTTAAAAGAGACATATATCTAGGCAAGATATTTTAATTTTGAATCGATATCAACTCTCGTTTAGAGTCATCTGAAACAAAATTTAGAATTTATAAGTTTTATATGGTTATGAAAATTAGCTTATTAGAGAATTTTGTAGGTAACTTAGAATTGATTTTGTAAAAGGTTATGTATTTAGTAAGTCGACCTACAAAGCTATGTCGAACCATATATACAGGGATCACAGGGACAGCGCCCTTCATCCACAATTTTGGAAATAACAAATATTCACCCAGAAAATGTGAAACTGAAAAAATCCATCCAAATATTAACAAAGATGTTTAATATTTTATAATTAGGACTAAAATAAATTATTTGATATTTTTAACATGTTTTATAAAGTACTTGCTTGGAAACCCAGCTCCGCCTGGAAACTATGTTACCTGGCCCTATAACCCTACCTACTCGACTATATCTACAGGGTTACCCACAAAGTCGCATCCTTAGTGGGTAACCCTGTAGATATAAAAAATCAGACAAATCATAGATAGCATTTGCTGGGCTATCTTAGTCTTGAAGTCTGGACCTAGATTTTTAATTCCTAGAATTAAAGGCTGATATATCTCTTTATAATTTATAATTTATATATCAATCAGTTAGAATAAAAGTTATTATAAGCTGAATCAAATTGATAAATTCTTACAAATCGTTAGAATAGGGAGAAGTGTTATAAAGACGACTTATGTATAATCAGGAATATTTTGTCCAAATCTTAAATAAGGTTATTTTAAAGTATAAGCAGGTCGCAGCTGGAGTAAAAGACACCACAGTAATGAATATTTTTTTTAATTCTCTCATTTGAAAATATTTCATCCATCTATCCAAGCCCCTCAACATTTACACCGTCCCTGTAATGTATTTTCCCATCCCCTCAAAGTATGACCCCTCCTCATATTGCTTTCATAGGACCCCTTTCTCATATTGCTTTTAAAGAACCCCTTCCTCATATTGCTTTTATAGAACCCCTTCCTCATATTGCTTTTATAGAACCCCTTCCTCATATTGCTTTTATAGAACCCCTTTCTCATATTGCTTTTATAGAACCCCTTCCTAATATTGCTATTATAGAACCCTTCCTAATATTGCTTCTTTAGGACCCCTTCCTAATATTGCTTTTATAGAACCCTTCCTATTATTGCTTCTTTAGGACCCCCTCCTAATATTGCTT